AAATTTCAAGGCTCCTCCCAAAGCCCCTAAACAACTGCTCCAGCCCCCCAGTTTTGGGGTCCCCCGCCCAGTTTTGGGGTCTCCCACCCCCAGTTTTGGGGTCCCCCGCCCAGTTTTGGGGTCTCCCACCCCCAGTTTTGGGGTCCCCCCGCTCACGGCGCGGCCGCAGCTGCAGCACCCGCAGGAAATATTTGGGGGGGACGCGGCCCTGGGCGTCCCCCGGCGTCAGGATCACCCCGTTGGCCGAGCGGAAAAAGGGGATCCCGTCTGGGGGGAGGGCTGGGGGGTCACACGGGCATCGGGGGGGACCCCCGAACAGCGGGGACCCCCCCAAACATCGGGGAACCCCCCCAAAAATCGGGACCCCCCCCTCACCCGCCAGCGCTCGGGGGCCGTCGATGATGATGGCGATCTCCGAGTCCGACCTCATCCCTGCGGGGAGGGGGATTTTGGGGGGTCCTGGGGGATTTTGGGGAGTCCCGAGGGGTTTTGGGAGGGTCTGGGGGGCTGCAGGAGGGAGGCTGGGGGGGCCTCGAGGAGGATTTGAGGTGTTTGAGGGGTCCTAGAAAGGGATTTGGGGGGCTGGGAGGATTTGGGGGTGCCAAAAGGGTTCCTGAGCTTTGGGGGGGTCACTGGGGGGGTTTAGGGGGGTCCCTGCTGAGTCTGGGGAGTTTTTGGGGGTGCCCCGGGTTGGTTTTGGGGAGGGGTCACACCCCACCAGGTGAGAGTGGGGTGTCTGTGGGGTTTTGGGGTGTCCCTGTGGGGTTTTGGGTGCTTGGGGGGTTTTTGGGGTGTCCTGGGTGGGTTTTTTGGGTCTCCCGGGGGAGTTTTTGGGGTCTCCCGGGTGGGTTTTTTGGGTGTCCTGGGTGGGAAATTTTTGGGTCTCCCGGGTGGATTTTTTGGGTCTCCCGGGTGGGATTTTTTTGGGGTCTCCCAGGTGTGAATTTTTTGGGTCTCCCGGGGGAGTTTTTGGGGTCTCCTGGGTGGGTTTTTTGGGTCTCCCGTGGGGGTTTTTTGGGGTGTCCCGGGTGGGATTTTGGGGTCTCCCGGGTGGGATTTTGGGGTCTCTCGGGTGGGTTTTTTGGGTCTCCCGGGTGGGTTTTTTGGGTCTCCCGGGTGGGATTTTTTTGGGTCTCCCGGGTGGGATTTTGGGGTCTCCAGGTGGGTTTTTTTTGGGGTCACTCACCGCTGCGCAGGCCGGGGTCCCCCGGCAGCCCCCCCGCCAGGTGCAGGTGCTGGCGGCCCATGGGGCGCAGCCCCCCCGCCCGGATCGCGCCCCACAGGCGGCGCCGGGTGCCGTGGGCGAGGGTGGGGGGCAGCGCCCCGGGGCTGCGCAGGGGGGTCAGCTCCAGCTCGGGCACCTGCGACCCCCGGACACAGCCCCTGCAGCAGCCGC